TTGACGGTTCAGCTCGCTGTTTTTACCTTCTCTGACAAGCGTAATAAATATTCTGAGATAATTTTCGAATGCACTTGTGAAATAAATTAAATGTGCTATAACCAAGGTCAACCTTATACGTCCGCAATTTTTCGAAAATTTTACGACCTCCCTCTCCTCAAGGAGGTCTCGGTGTGACGACTCCCCACCATCACCATCAGTCTTAGAAGGCTCCACCAACACGAAGACCAGGAGACCAGTCGCCACTAAAAATGGATGTCGAGCGGGGAAGAGGGAGGGGTGGGGTGTAAAAACATCATGAAGCTGTGAATCCACCAATTTCGCCTGACACTACTTTCGTAAGACTTCCACCAAATTCGTCAAAAACAGCCGAAAGCCATCTTTAACGACCTCCGTCATCCTCCGTTCCCACTATGATAACCTTGCTCAACCCCAAAAATGCGACCCCCATCCCGAAATCACAAGACCCTTTGAATAGTGCGAACGGACGCCTGACCCAGGGTGTGACTGCGCTATTCAGAGACGGTTTGTGATGAACTACAGACGCAAAGAAGGCAACCTTACTTCACTCATCCCACCCCTTTCCTCTGCAACATGTAAAATAGTTTCGAAATCTAAAGGAGCTTCTTATGAATGAGATAATTTAATGAAAGGATCTTGAAAAGCCACTTACCGGCACTGCGTATTCCTGCATCGGATGTTTCAGTTTGTGTTTTTTCGCCGTTCGTTGACTGAAGAAACAGTTCTGGCAGAGGTCCAAGTTGAAGCAACGTAGACAGCGATAACGTAGACCGATGATCGGGAACATTTTGCACACGTTGCATTTTGCTTGATGTTTGGCAAACTCGGCTGTGGCTAACCGGTGCATCACCGGTAACCATACAACGCTTTGCGGTTCCTGCTTCATCCAGTCGAGGAACGGCGCCATACCGATCGTGGGCGCAAGACGTACCGTCTCAAAGCATGATCGCACCGACGGCTCGACATTCGAGCCACCGAACGCGGCCGCTTCGCCGACCAGCCGGGGAATCTGAAACTGTTGCTTTGAATTCAAAAAAGAAATAAATCGATTTTCAATATTGTTCGATTTAAATTCAAATGTGTTAGTAATTGATTGTCGGATTAGGTGGATCGGGGGATCCGGCATTTTCACTGTGGCTTTCTGCATACGAAGATAAGGTCTAGGAGTGCTGAAAAGAATTCATTATCTTAACTCAAAATCGCGTAAAATTCAGGTTTTTGCATCTCAAATCACATTTTTTCTATTTTCTTCGTTTTATTGCTTGTTTTTTTTTTGAAAAATACTGAAATTTTGGCGCGCAAATAAGCGGCTTTTGAATTTCGTTTCTATGTAACTTTTTTTTTTGTCTAATTGTCAACTAAGGAGCCCATCTTGCGCCTACAGTTTAAAATGAAGTTAGCTAATTGGCCAGTACCACGACAACTAGAAAAATAACAGTGGCTGAAAAATCAAGAAACCTCAAATAGAAAATAAGAGATAAAAAGAAATGGCCCAAAACAAGTGCCCACCTGAATGAGGTCATAGAGCAGGAGCGCAATGTGCTTTTGATCAGCCTGACCATCCTGGGCAACCAAATTGAAGATGACTGAAATTTTCCTTGAATCAATAAAACAAGAAACAGATTATGATCAATCAATAATATTAATATGTAAGGTGAATCATGAGAGCTTCTTCCTGGGCAGCCACTAGTAAGAGTCAGGCCATGGTACTCTTTGTTAAAGTACCATAGGGGACTTAAGGGACGGGTCGGGATTAAATTGTGCGTTATTTTGTTTGAAAATTAGGCAACGAACGCAACGAGGAGTATTGGTGGGGAAAAATAGAAAAAACACCACCCCGCCATAGAAACACACTCAAATTCCCCTTAATGAGGCCGGTCGTAGTATGACAGAGAAACACAGCGCTGCGAGGAGAGGGAAAACGCGAGACAGTACGTCGTACGCGAGAGGGCGCAGAGACCACGTATGCCGTGGTTGATAAGGTGGACAGCACGGCAGCACACAAGGCAAGACCTTAGCGCCGTTGCCTCGCAACTTTTGAGACGCGATAGTACCGTGCCTTCTACTCTTGGGGACCCACATTCCTTCACTAGAAGGGACTGGCTCTTGAACCCTATCCTCAACTCGTGGCGTCAAGCCCGCAAAAGTTAAACTGGTAGAGGAACATGTAGACAGCGTCACTCACATCTGTACTTGTCTTCTAACGGGGCGCTGGACATCACAACCAGAGCCGTTTTGAAATGACAGTACTCGAAGAACTGCCATCACGTGACTGAGTTAGATACTGGGCCTATTTCTAGAACCTGCAAATCCAAGTAAATCGTGAAAATTGCTTACACGGATCGAACAGATTTCGAGCAGGAAGTTAATGCACAAATCGACAGCTAAGGCTACACTTCGGACCATTTGCGGATGTTTCGCATTGAGTTGTTCGAACAACGGCAAAATGCTTGTGACCATGCCCTCCAAACCGGGGAGCTCTTCATTTGACAAGCCGGCTAGCCGAGAAAAGCACTGAAATTGAGAATTTCAAAATCAATTCATAGGAGTACACAAATGCCCTTCCACTCCTCTTCGACCCTTGACCACCACAGCCCCCCCCCCGCTCTCCCCAATTATTCTTTTGTGACCATTTAATCGTGACTATTCCACTGTGAACATGTACCTTACTATCTCTTAATTGTGAATATTGCGGCAACAGTAGCTAAATAAATAAATAAATAAAGAGCAGGCCTATTCCCTATTGTCTGGAAGTACAGTCCATAGCTAGGCTGAGTCTATGATGGCGTGGCGCATTCCGAGATCACTAGTCAACTTATGAAGAGCTTTGTGACGGAGACGAAACTCTGTGACCAATCCATTGAAAAACATTTACTTTTTGGGTAAAAATAGTCGTACTCTCAACATGTATTCTCATACACTGTGGCTCCAATATTTCTCACGAGTTTTCGCCACTACAGTATCCCTGGCCCCTCTCACAGTATCCAAACTACCCAACGTCCGTCGATAGCAATTATGTGACCAAGCACGATGCCCATACGAACTGCCTAATGGGGCATCCAGTACCGGCTTACAGTGGTCCGCGCTAGAATTCCACTAAAACGAGAGATGCGGATTTAAATCAAACGTCTTGTTTACCGTAATTTTCGGTCATCCCCTGAGTGTTTTTTCAGAGAATTCTTTGCCCTCAACCCACCTTTTCCAGCATCGGAATGTCAACAAGGTCTAGACAAAGGCGTTTCTGAAGCGCTCGAAGTTTCATCGCCGTCCTGTAGGCGATAAATTTCACTCGGTTGAACTGCGACAACTCCTTGGCCATCTCCACCCAGACCGGATGCTCCCACTGGGTCTTCTCAGTGGTGTGACTGAAAAGTTTGAAAGGTATTTCTAAAAATCGCCTGAAGTAAACCAAAAGTATCATCTTACTCGATGTAGTACGGTAGTTGATTGGTCTTAGAAATAGCGCGTTGCCAAGGTAAAGAGACACTTTGATTGAGAAAGTGCTCCGACGATGGACCGAAGTCGGCCAGGGCATTCCGCAGAGCAGCAGTTCGCACACGGAGAGCCGTCTTCAATGCCATGAATCTAAAAAACAGGCAAACTTAGGCTATTCAAAGACGAAAGGTAATGCCAAGTTATTGTTCACTGCGAGCTGCGCCATGCACCCGAGTTCCATTCAGAATAGTAGGGCTATCTGGTTAGGATTTCGGCCACAACCAATGAATAGCGAGAAAGCTCATTACCGGGTTCACATCTTCGTCCTCCGCATACTAGCTGAACGATTATGGGGGGGCGCCTGTATAGGTGATGAACAGGCGGGAGATCTGATCTACAGAAATAAAAAATGCGGCGCTTGACCACTGTCTTCCTGCCACAAAAGTTCGCACATGGTGACATTTGAAATTCAAAATATTGGAAGAGGTAAGTTATTATGGAAAACGAGGCACAATTCAGAAGCTAATATAGCGGTTCTGACCTCAATAGAACCTCAACTAGATTTGCAGGCGGCAATTCAAGACTAATCGCCCCTCAAATAGTCCTTTTTATGTCACGTCTGGCTATAACGGCTATCCCACGTAATTCCACACGCTTGAAAAGGTGAGTCTAGCGGAGCAGGTAGAAAACGCTATATCATTTCCTGCAGCCGAGGTCAGTACATGGCCTGTCTGAAAGTCGAGACCTAATCTGTCATCTTTTTGAAGACAACTGCTTGGTGGCAGACCAGTGCGGGAAGTAAAAAAGCCGACATACCAAGGGTAGGTGGTAATAAATGTCCTAGCAAACGACTAAGTCGTAGCGGCTGAGAAGAACTTATTGCTCTGATGGAAACCAAACGCATGGCGCACACCTCGAACGATTATGAAAGTTAACCAAAGAGCGATCATGTTACATAGGTGATTTGGAGCCGCTATATAAATGACTCAACGAAATTTAAAAATGATAAATCAAAATAACTAGCCGTTCATTGACGGAATCGAGCTGATTGCGTGGGTGCTGATCGAGAGGCGTGTCTGCGGCCAAGACTCGGCCACACGCGTCGTTTGCATCGTCGACGTGAATTCGCAGATCGGCGACGCGATTCGTCAGCGATTCACAGTGACGTCGTGCGTCTTTAAGTTCTTCGAGCCGTAATCGCTCCAACAGGTCGCCAGTTGTTCCACTTCGGACTCGACAGCGCTGAAATCGATACGCATTTCTTTCATTGAGAAAATCTGCGGGAGTCCATAATCAGGCCTGATTTTACTAACTACGTTTCCTTTAATCATATTTGACATATGGGTTCAAAGCTCGGAAATCGAAGCACAAGTCACCCCTATTTAGTTCGACTATTTTTATTTGCTAGATTTTTTTATTCATATATCAAAATATTATCGTTGTAATATTATTTTATTTTAATTTTATTTTGGTTATAACTAAAAATTTTAACGTATGGCATGTTATTTAAATATCGATTTGTTCCTTTAACTCAAATCAAATATTTATGTTTGCACATTTCACACACCAGGCAAAATAATAATTTTTTGGCGCTATCGCAATATACGGGGGCATTTTGGCGGCAATGCATTTGAAGCCGCGTGAAACATGCCTTTGTTACAGGAATGGAACTAATCCTCAGGTGGGATAGAAGAGACCCTAAGGTGGGTGAGCCTTTTTCATTTTTCCCAGAGCTCGTGCCACTTCCTAGGCTTGGTCCTGGAGGATGTCCCCGTATGTTGCGATAGCGCAATTTTTCGATTTATTTTGTTCCATTTTAATGTCTGTGAATCTTTCAATTGTTAATCGTTTCAACTGGTAAATAAAACAGAATGGAACCTCAGATGCAGTTGGCACTCAGCCAGCGCCCGTTCCAACTCTCCTGCAAACGCAACGCCGCTGCGTGTATCGCACGGTCCCAATCGGAGAAACTGGACGCCAAGTTCGGCCCCACTTCTCCTTCAGTTTTTCACAGTCAACATGAATTTGCAAACCACAACGGCGCTGTTCAACATCCTTCTGCTCTGAAAAATTTTGGTCAACATTTTTCACAGTTACAAAATTTAAACTATAATCTGAGTTTTAAAATTAGCACATACCGTCTTCGTCATCCTCGGCCAATACTCCTGGGCGATGAAGTTTTGGTCGCAGATCGTGTTGCATTAGGAACGAGTGGGCGTTGGTAACCGCGCTTCACGGACTTGAATGCCCTTTAAAAATCGATATATCGATTGGTTTATGGTATGTTTTTACTTTACTCGCTCACATCCCCGCTAGTGATGCCCACAGAAATACACATGAAGAAATTTTTCTTTGATTAATGGGAAAAACTCTATTTGGTTTCCTGACCTAACAATAATATATTTTTACAAAATCGTAAAAAAAAACAAATAATGCCAACCTTCTGCTCCATTTCTTTCTCGGTATTCTTCATCCAAGCACTTTGCGCCATCACAGCCGACAGACTACCACCGAACCGGCTGTTGTCCGAAGAAAAAAAAAGAAAGAAAAAAGCCAGCATCTGTACAACAACCAAAAATGTTGAAAGAAAAAAAAAGATTGGGAAAAATCGATATTTGAGATAAATTCGAAAGAAGATTTTCTTTCGCAGGATAAGAAAATTGAACTCTTTATCACCGGGGTAAAACTCAATATGGGAAGTGTGTTTCTGAGATAAAAAAAGCGATAGATCTAGAAAGACAATTAGTTCAATAAGGAACCGCCAACCAATAAATCATAGTGTTGAATGATAAGATTTCATATTTTGTAGATATAAAGAATTCAGCCAGGTAACTCACCTCGATACTTTTATCCTCGATCCAACCGAGCAACGACGACAGCGTATTGGTGAGCTTTTCCCATTCCTGTTCAGCTTCGGCCAGTCTCTCTCTAGAATATTCATATTCAATTTATTTGCTATCGGAACGTGGTTTGCTGTTCAGATATTCGAGTGAGCGTAATTTCCTTATTACGGAATCTCAAGTAGTTTCTCGCGCTTCTCCTCAAGCAACTTTAGCAGATGGTTCTATGTCTACAAAAAGTCAGTCATAACTTTTTTGTAGACATAAACCCATCTGTAAAGTTGTTGCTCGAAGACACTCCGCGAAAGGCACATGCTGGGCAAAACAGGGTAAGCTTGGGGCGAAAATATGAGGCAGTAGGTACTAAATTCACTTGCTAGGGAGGAAAAAGGAAAGGAAAGCACTGAAACACCCTATATAAGATCCCTTTCCTTAGCATTCACAAGAGTATGAGAAATAAGAAGTGCAAGGCACACTGGACGCGAAAGGCGCCAGAACAGCAGACGGACACGACGAGAGCATAGCGGCCAGAGAGACGGCAGGTACCACATCGCTGGGTGCGAGTTGCTACTTCAGGTGGGAGACATTCAATTCTCCTCCTAGGCTTAAGTCACCACAGCTGCGCGATCATGGTAGCCTAAGGTCAGGCTTAGGCTTAGGCTTACACATTAGGTTACGTTAGCCGTTCGTTCAAGCCCACAGTTAGGCTTAGGCTCAGGCTTGCTACTAGCAAAATGGTGGTGTCCTAACTTGAGGTGACCTGACCTGAGAGGAGAACTGCAACGCACCCCTTCAGGTGTGACGGTTGCAGCTGTCAGCTGTTGTAAGCCCCACCGCTCTTTACATGCAGTTTCGAGTAGCAAAGGTAACCTTATTTCTGCGGTTGCAGACCTATCTTATTCACGAGGCGGACTGGGCGAATAATCTAACCACGTAGTATGCCATTAGTTGTCTGGTAGTTGTGGTTCTCAAATGGAATAACCTAATGTCACTCATTGTAGTCAAGTTCCACTTGTTGTCGCCCATTGTCGCCCAGTGTCATCACGTGTGGGTCAAGAGATCCAGGTTGCAGCGCTGCACGCAACGCAGCGCGCGCAAGATTTGCACTGTGTGTCGCAATGATTATTCCGCCGCACGCGCGTGACTTTAATGTTTCTGCATGCTGCCTGATCTGATCTCTTAAGCCATACCTAATACTGATGAGTATCGCGAAGCGGCGCTTATTGCGAACAAGTGTCGCTTTGTATCGCCCTATTTCGCTCATTGTAGACTCATACATATTGTAAGGACGCCGGGCCCCTAGGTGAGGGTACAGATTCGGAGAGGAGGAAGGGCGCTATCGCAAGATACGGGGGCATTGTTGTAGCGACGCATACAAAACCATCTAAAACACCTCTAAAAAATGGGGCTGAGCCTTAGGCGGGAGGAGAGTATTCAGGGAGCTTGAGCGAATTCCATTTTCCCCGGAGTTTCTGCCTTTCTACGGTCTAGTTCTGGAGAAGACCCCCGTATCTTGAGATAGAAAGTTTAGGAAAGAGAAAGATGCAGACGCCATCACATTAGCAACGTTGATGAGGAATAAAGACTGGATGTGCATAAGTGCAATTCTTTAGATCCTGCCATGCTTTCGGATCTCTTTAGTGGCACTCTTTCTGCGGCTGTAGAGCTTCCTATCCCGGAAAATTTCCCAGAAGTTCCCCTGGAGTTTTTCCCCATGAAACCAATCGCGGATTGTGCCGCTAATTTAACTCATTTATGGCTCTATACCGCCGTTTTGACTGTATCTTTCTGACCCTCCTTAGCCTGCTCATTTTTAACTCGTTCTTTACTACTTTGACGATAGGAAGAATTCAAGAGGTAATTCGAAGAACCACGAACTTGACGACGCCTTCGGCCTGACGCACATCCTTCCATCGCTGGCCCATCGCATCGAGACGAGATTGGATTTCAGTTCGATCCTTTCCAGATTCCAGTCCGGCGCCAAGTTTTCGTCCCATTTCGTCCACAGCTTTCAAAACCTCTTCATGAGCATTCAGCTCGGCTTCCAGTGACTGAAACTTCGGAAAATGAATGAAGGAAAATGAACTTAGAAATCAGGGATGAAATGGTGGTGATTTGTTGAGGCCAAGCCATCCGCCTATCAACATTCTTCAGTTTTCAGGATTTTCGTCATTTTCTCCACTCAAAAGCCAAAACTCAATATCTTTTCTCAGTGTTGCAATATCAAAGTGAATTATATGTTTAACATATACGTAACGTATACGTTTGAATAGCCTGAAACATATTAAATCCTCATTGAATTGTTCTTGAAATACTTCCCCATAACTTTCAAATACACCTAAGCCCCACGAGATCCGAGAAGTTTTTTAATGTTTTCATATGGCACCTTATGCTGCTGAATCCATTCACGTCGCTTTGCGGTGTCTTTCAGCGATTGTGTGTTTGCGGTCAGTGTCTCCAGTTCGCCGACACTCTCACCAATTCGATCAAGCCAATCTTCAAAATCAGCGAACGCGGTGTGGAAGTCGCTTTCGCGACTTGGGATGTGCCTCCCAGAACGGACGTGTCGCGAATACGATAACTGTAAAATATTAGCGAAGTACTATATTCGACAGAAATCGTCAAACATTGGGATCCTGCAATTCTATTCCTTTGGAATAAGCCACGCCTTCAGCATATATCCAAGTTGCAGAGATGTAATTGAATGCATTTATTGCCATAGTGAGCTGCAACGGATGTACGAAGCGCGTACTTAGTACATCTCTCAGCATTTCTAGAGGAGGCTGGACCGTGCCAGAGGATATATGGAGGGAGAGGCTCGAATAAGTGCTTTCAATTCGATCTCATATAGATATTAAATGAAATTATAAAAATAAGCCTCAAAAGCAGGATAAAATAGCGAAAATTAGTGAGTAGTAAGAAGTAAGCTAGCAAATGAGAAATTGTAAAGCTTTCGTGAAATAACCCAGTTTTGACACACTTCTGGATCTTGGTATGGGTCCGTCGGCTTTTTTTTGCAATTCGCATAAGACTGAGCCAATGTTGGTTTCTTGCAAGGAAAGCTATATTTGAAGCGGGTATGCGGCGCAAAATAAATAAATAAACAAGTTAATTAATAAACAAATAAATATTTGTCTCCATAAGGGAGGAGTCGCATTAGTGTGGGCAGAGCGTTTACACAAGGGGAGTAGGATCTGCAAGTTAAGCTTGTATGAGAAACTTCCACAAAATTGTGCCAAAGTGAATTATTTTACGGAGTTTGACTATTTTCCCAGTTTTAGCTACTTTTTCAACAATACCAAATAAAACCCTTTCCACTTTACGGGGGAGCAAATCCACCCAAAGGCGGAGTTGAGTTATGGGACGTCGACCTATGGGGAGGGGGGAAGGGAGATCGTAGTAGTCCTTGAAGTGAGATCGTTTGTGTCAAGCATCCTCAACATGTGGCTCATCTTGACGCAGATACTGCAAAGGGGGTTTGCAAAAAGAGGTGTGCAAGTGCAAGAGAAAGGTAGCCTGACTGATAGACTCTGGAAAGTGAAGCTGATCCAATTAACTAAACTTGTGAAATAGTTTATTCCTACACGAAATGTTTTGGAAATTTTGAGAAAATCGTCGCTTTTCTCTCTTTTCCAGACAGCCACTACGAAGATTGCTTGCTAAGTATTTCAGCAAAGACTTTGAGAAAGGCTTTGGATTTCTATTGAATCATTCCTTTCCAGGTAGCTGCACTATCTGCGTGAGCCGTTAAACCGAAAATCATTCAAGAAAGGAAAATCTGCTTCTGCACACCGAAATTCGACGTGGTTAGCCGAATAGAAAGGCCTTCGGAGAGACTGAGAAAAAGCAGCAGGCACCAATGCAGAAAGGATTCGAACGAGCGCGCTAGAAATGACGAATTTCAAGGATAATGAGATCATTACCGGCCGTCATGTACCCACATCAATGGCGCCCGGGCCCCGTCGAGGTTCGTTTCAAGGGTTAGAAGAAGCGAAATGGCGCCGCATGCGGCAATTGTCGCCGCACCAGCGATCACGAATAACAGGATGATTCGATTGGGCCTGACGAGGTGATTGCTATTGATGCTGACGACCTCAGGCCCAACACGAACTCCTGGTCAGCTATGATTGTCAATGTGATTATCGTGCTGGTAACTTGCTTCGAGGGTTGGTTCCACGTTACTATTGGGGTTTGGACACTCATGCACGCTACCTTCGGACCGCGCGTCATGGAACAGTACCAATTTTCATTTGCAACCCAGGACTCAACAGTGTGGTTAATGTATGCTATACGAAGTTATTACGTTTTTTATACAAATAAATATCGACAAATGAAAAAACTGACTTATCATTAAATTTACTCCATCGCATATTCAGCTTGCTCAGCTCGTGACTGAGAGTATGAGCTTCGTCACGCGTGTAGGTGTCGAGCATAGCATTTCCCTGGAAAATTGCTTGTTTGTTTTTCGAATACAAAATTTGGGGGCTATCGCGAATAGATATGGGGGCGCTGTGGTGTCCATGCTTCTCGAACTGCGTGAAACATTTTTTTTTTGTCAAAAATAGGGCTGAGCCTTAGGTGGAGAAGAAGAGGCTCGAGACTGCGTGAGCAATTTTTTATTTCCCCGCTGTTCCGGACCCTCCTGGGCTTACAAGGAAAGGATGGTAGGTCGAAGTGGCCGTTCGAAATGAAATGTATACCACCTGATGCGTCTCCAGACGCTGATTCCAAATCTGCCTTCCAAATCTGCTAAAACGCTCTCCGAACGGAGTTATGAAGCGTAATAGCTCAGTGGTGATGGTCCGGGGTGGCAGGTAAAAGCTCGTAGGATCGGTTCCTTTGCAAGTTTGTTGCTTTGCTTTTGTCCGCAACACTTCTAGAGACAAAAGCAAAGCAACCAATTTGCAAAGGAACCGATCCTACGAGCTTTTACCTGCCACCCCGGACCATCACCACTGAGCTATTACGCTTCATAACTCCGTTCGGAGAGTCGTTTAGCAGATTTGGAAGGCAGATTTGGAATCAGCGTCTGGAGACGCATCAGGAGGTATACATTTCATTTTCGAACGGCCACTTCGACCTACCATCCTTCCCTTGTTAGTCATAAAGGCCCCCGTATATCACGATAGCGCCCAAATTTGCAAGTTCCAGCTTCCTTTAAACTAATGCATACGTGGTCGCCATTTAAGTTGAATCTAAAGGGCTAGCGATGAGTGTTCGAGGTTTTTTAGCGCTGGACGCTATGCAAACTTCAGCTCGCGCGTCAGACAGCATGGCGCGACAAACGATCGTCACGGAATTGCCAAAGGCCGGTGTCAGACTTTGCGTATTCGCGGGTTCGCGCGAATCGCGGGACAGTAGCGTTGCACCAGCAACTCGAACGATGTACCAGGCGACTCGACAGTGTTTGAAAGTTGTGGGAGTCCTTCTCATTCGCAAAGGTAACTTCTCACCTTTTTCCGGGTTCTCATGCAGGGGTCAACCGTCGCATTCGTAGTTCCACAAGAATTTTGTGACCCCCCCCCCCCACCACCACCTGTCAGTGTTAGGAGGCTTCCTCCAATACGACACCCATCTTCCCAACCTCGATCACCACCCTCACTATTATGGCTGTTTCTACAGAAGTTGACTCCGAGACCAGTCGACAAACCCAACTCCGCCCACTTTCCCTACGAACAGCCGTCGAGGGAGGAAAAGGAATAAATTATTATCATGAAGGCAAATTAATTCATATAGATTTGTAAAATTCGTGAAGTTTTCGCCAAAATTATCGAAAAACCCGTCGAACACAATCCCTTTTCTACGGGTGTTTTCTGAGAGGTAGTTAACCTTGCTCGACCCAAAACACGACCCCTCCCATTCCCAAAATCACACATGCAACGCCCTCGTTCGAATAGTGCGAACGACGGTTGACCCTGCTCCCATGCCCTCTAGCCGCCACGCTTACGTGAGTTTGGGAAAGGGCGAGAGTTTACGTCCGATTCAAAGGGGCTCCGTCTATTTAACGCTGCCCAGTCGTTGGTACATCACTGGATCTCTGGTGCATAGTTCGATCCGCTGGCGCATCGTTCGAGCCGTTGGGGCAATACTGTACCCTGCGATTCGCTAGCGAATCCAAGGATTCGCAAAGTTTGACATCGCCAGATTTCTACGCGTCACTTTGCACGGCGAGGGCAAATTACCACAACCGCTTAACGTATAGGTAATAACTCTGAGTGAGGAATCTGCAACGGCTCTCACCTTGGCGTTCACTTCTTTGATTGCAGCCTTCTTCTCGTCGAGTTCTGCGATGATGCCCTCAATGGCCTTTAGCTCCTCAGTCACTGCCTCATCCGTCGTCTCATCAGATCGCTTGGTACCTGAAATAAAATCAGTCACTAACTCGGAGGATCATTTTCAATAACTCGCTTTTTCTTACTGTTGGGGATGGAAAATTGATTTATGTGCTGTGGCAGTACTGTACTGGCAGGGAACCGAAACAGGAGTCCCAGTCAACCCAATTTTCTCGCTCTAGGGAATGGACTTGGAGCAGGACTTGTTCGATTTTCCATACTTAGGCTCATCGATGATTGGGCACAAATAAGCTAACCCATGAAATCACCCTGTAATTAGTTCATAGTTCGAATACGCATTCAAACATTCCTTCGACCTCGATTGCAAGCAAATTCGCGCCGCATCCCAGAAACCCTTGTTGACCGCATTACTACATCATTCTTTTCTATTATTGAGGTAGCTGCCGCGGAGGTCGCAAACAGCAAACTGGCTGTGGGTCAGGAAAAGCGATGCAGGGTAGGGCATGAATTAGCCTCAAAGGAAGCGATTACAATTGTTTGATGGTGAGCAGGGTGCGGCAGTCAAGAAAAAGTCTGAAGTACCGGTTGAAAACCAGAGAACTGATCCCGTCACCCTGCCCCTTGATTTCGGACGAGTTTTCGGCCAGATGTCGGCCGTCCGGGTGAGTGTGTCCCATATATAATTTCTGAAGAGGATAAAAGGATAAAGGATAAAGCATTTGCCGTTGATCAATCCCTTTTGGGATGCGGCACGCATTCTACTTCCATTTGTACATTCGTAGTGGCGTTTGAATGCGATGTGGCCTATACAATGACTTGCGGGGGCCAGCCGATGTACAAGTCAGTGTTTTTATCCTCCCAGACAAGTCTGGTACCAATTAACCGACCCCGGAGGGATGGAAGGCTTGGTTGGCCCGGGCGACTCACGACCCAGGATTTGATCCCCGGACCGCTCGCGTGGTAAGCGAGATCGTGGTGCCACTT